TGGGATTACTGTGCTTGATTGGCCTCTCCATTCTTCCTCCATACTCTGGGTCCTTAGTTTCCAAATGAGATGCAAAAGTTGCAGTCCCAACATGTCTGGACTACAAAGTTAGAGAAGTCCAGTCATCTCCCATTAACCAGCAGGTGGAAATTCAGTCCTGACTGAGTCCCTCCCTTGACTCAGCTGGGAGCAAGCTGTTGCTTTGATGATGGGACTTTTAGCTCACGAAGGTGCTGTTTTCCTTTCGGTATTATATTTGTCAGTATTATATTTGAAGAAAGATGAGAACTTTTTAATTAGGAAATTTGAAAAACAAATATTCAAAGTATTGATAAAAATCCCTCAAATAAAGTTGGGGTAAAAATATAGGACAATAGAAAAAGTATTAAAAACATAGAAAATCTAGGAGAGAGGCATCTTAGAGCTGGGCATTTTTGCTGGGGGGAAAACTCAGCAATTGAATGCCATTCTCTTTTCAGCTCAGGAAGATCCAGGTAGATGGCATCTGTAGGGGTAAGAGCCACTGTGGGTTAAGTGAAAAACATGTTGAGGCAATGCCTATGACATGCATCGGATGTTGGGACACAAATAGATAAGAACAAGATTTCCATAATGACATCACCAGTGACGTGCGGTGAGGGTTACCGTTGGTGAGGCAAGAGCACAGCAGCAGCAAGAAGCAAAGTCCCTGCCGCTGTGTCCGACAGGCGTCTCGCATTTATGGTGGACATAAACGCGAGACGCCTGTCGGACAGAGCAGCGGGGGTGTTGCTTCTCGCCGCTGCCGCACTCTGCCGCACTCTGCCGCCTCGCCCCCCCGCCTCCTCCATCCCCGCCGCAGGACTTTCCAAAATACTCGGGCCACTGAAAGTCAGGGTCTGACTTTCTACGGAGAAAGGCACGTGGAAATCCACAATTGCAACCCGACACGTGCTACCGGCGGAGGAAGGACTCCGGGGAGATTTTCCACCTTCCCCGACTGAGCTGGGGAAAAAAAAACACGTGAAGAAATCGAAGGTGTTTCTCCTCCGCTGCCAGAACACCGCGCCCCACTGACCCGGGCGTGCTGACCTCCCTCCTCTTTAGCTATTTCGGAGGGCACGCTTCAGAGGAGAGAGGAGTGAGGGAGAAGGAGGAGGCTCGCTCCTCATTGCAACATGTATGTATTATTTGGTTGGTTCACTAATTGAAACAGAAATAGTTCCCTGAATCCCTGAAGAATATTTAAAGAGGA